CGCCGCGGCCACGAACGGTTCGGCCAGATGCGCCCTTGCGCTCCACAGGCCCCCGCTCCCGCGAGTCACGATGGTGATGGTGGTGATGATGGTGATGGCGACCACGTCGGTCGTCATCGCCGCTGCCATCACTGTCATCACCACTGCGGCTGCGACTGCGACTGCGGCTGCGGGTTTGTTTCCTCGGCTGGAGGCGGCGGGTGTCGTGGAAGCGGCTTCGTGTGGGCTTGCCCACTTCAAACAGCTCCTTCTCGGCAGCCTGATGTGGTGGGGAAGTCCGGTGGGAAGGGAGGAGGAGGAAGGGAGTGCCGTTTGGGTGCATGTGTGCATGAGTGCATGTGTGGATGTGTGTGTGTGTGTGCATGTGTGGATGTGAATGCGTGTGTGGATGTGTGCATGTGTGAATGCAAAGCTAAGAGCACATGCAGCGAAGTCCTCGAATTTCCGCTCACACACACACACAACACGCACACACAAACACAAACAGGCGCACACCTTCTCCTTCTTGCTCTTCTTCTTCTTCCGCAGCTTTTTCTTGCGAGAGCTGCCGCGATCCGAGCCTGAAACAAGAACACACACGTACATACGCACACACACACATACATGAGAGCACATCGTGAGGGCTTCTGGCATGTGTAGAGAAAGGTGGAGGACCAAACAGTCCCCGTCACACACACACACACACACACACACACACACACACACACACACACACACACACACACACACACACACACACACCCGATGAGCTGCTGCTGTCTGAATCTGAGCCAGAACTTGAAGATGATGATGACGACGACGACGACGATGATGATGATGACGAAGAAGAGGATGATGATGAGGAGGAGGAATCTGTGTCGCTGTCTGCTGCTGCGCGTGGCTTTGTCTCCACCTTGGATCTGCGCACCAGCTCACCGCTCTTGGCAATCGTCACGTCACTAGACATTGGGGGCGGTGTGCGTGAGCAGCATTGATGCATCGATGGGTGAAACCAACACAACAAGCTTGCTTGACTTTTGTACCTCAAGCACAGGCGACAAAACGGAGGAGCACAAAGACATCGCGATGCAAACATACGCGGCTGTGCACACGCGCACATGATAATACGCAAACACACATGCACACAAACAAACGCAAATGCACACACGCTTGCACATACTTATATAAATGCACACACACACACACATGCACACACTTATGTAAATGCACACACACATACAAGCACACACATACGTGCGCGCACGTTTACTGACATGAGCGGCGTGTCGTTGTCGTCTGTTCGCACGCCTTCCACCATCTTGATGATGTCTTGCCCCTTGACAACACGCCCAAACACAACGTGCTTGCTGCAAAACACAAAACAAGTAAGTCAAACCACACGCACACGGGCACAACGGAGCTTGGGTGAGCGCTGAGCACAGAGCAGGGCGGTTGCGTCGCAACGGGCCACTACCACACAAGCATCCGCTGCCTGCCACGTACTTGTCCAGGTGTGGCGCCGGGGCGGTTGTGCTGCAGGAGAGATGCAAGGCAAGACGCAGAACCACATTACACGAAAGCATGCACGTGAGACAAAGCCGGTCACATGCAGGCTTACTGGTGTGTGGTTGCAGTGTGTGGCAACACATAATAGGTCAATTCACAAACAGAGCAAAAAGGGAACATGCAAACAACACACACACACACAGATGCACACACGCGCGCACACGAATACACACACACACAAACTACACACACACACACACACAAGCACACACACACACACACAAGCATGCACAAACTACACACACGCACACACGCACATGAAAAACTGGGAGCTGTTTGTGTCTGGTCCTCGATTGGCCATGGACAGTAGGAACGGCTCCGAGTGGCGATGCACAAATTTCTCATCGGGGAACGTGCGTCCGTAAATGCTTTCGCCTCCACGGCCATCGCCTTTAGAATGCGCATTGCACACACGCCCCGGCGTGAGCTGATCGTGGAAAGAATTGATCGTGGTTCAAATTGTATGACAGCCACAACGAACGTGTGTGCACACACAAATATACGCACGCACACGTACACACACAACGAACACAACATACACACAACACAACACAACACACACACACACCACACACACATACATACACACACGGCTACCTCGGGTAAAGTCGCCGCCTTGGATCATAAACTCCTTGATCACACGATGGAACCTGGAGCCCTCGTAGTGCAGGTTGGAGTTGGAGAGTGGGCTGCGGCCCTTTTCACCTGTGCACAACGCACGGAAGTTCTCACACGTCCTGGGTGCATCCTTCACAAACAGCTCAAACACAACACGACCCACTGCAACCCGCCATCGGCAGGTGCCATGCCAAGCAACACAAGAATGAGATTGCACGTGAGTGTGTGAGTGTATTCATGTTTCGTGTTTGCGTTTGTGTCCGTGTGTGTGTGAGTGAGTGTGTGTGAGTGAGTGAGTGAGTGTGTGTGTGTGTATGTGTGTGTGTTTGCATGTGTGTGTGTTTGCATGTATGAATGTGTGTGCGTGTGTGTTTGCGTGTGTATACGCGCATGCAGTTGTGTCACGTGCATTCTCCACATCTTCACATTAGTAATGTAACAACATCCCGCCTCCGTCATGATAAGGTCCATCCAGTTCCTTGCTTGCTGTGTTCCGTACCAATCTTGCCACCAATGGCAATGTCGAAGAAGCAGCGCGAATCCATGACTGCTTGGCTGGATGGATGGACGTGGGGTGGCTGGATGGATGGATGGATGGACGGGTGGACGCGCTCAGTACCTTCCCCTTCCTGCTTCGTGGTCGTCGTTCGCAGTGAAAACAAGGCACGAAAAGTACATCAAATCATTCGCCATTCCTCCACAACCACCTCCAGCCACTGCCACCACAACAACACAAACACAGCACAAACACACAAACACACAACATACAACACAAACAACAACGCGGGCACGACATGATGATGCGGGCGGCATTCGCACTGCTGCTGGTTGCGCTGGCGGTGGCGCCGTCCCAGTACGGCGCGCTTGCATATGTGCGCGATACTCCTTATCGTGAGCTGGTGCCACAGCGGTTCCAGTACAAGTCGCAGACGCCCATTGAGGGCTTCAACCAGCTCAGCTTCAACGCCATCCATGCCATCGATGGCTGCACCGTGCTCGACAGTCAGGGCTGGCTCCTCGCCACAGAGCTCGGCCTCACATGGTTTACCCGCTCAAACGTGAACAAGTTCATCCCTGTCCAAGGCGAGAGCATCGACTGGGCGTCATCACGCCTCCTGTGTGCACAGGACAACCACGTGTTTGTTCTCGATGCCACAACCGCATACTTGATCGCCATCGACGACACAGAGGTCAGACACCACCTTGTTTCCCTGCACATATCGAACACACACTCACACACATACGCGCTCTCTAACGCGCGCACATGAAATATTGCTCAACACAACATGCAAATCAGTGCTTCTGCTCTTCAACACCATCGCTACACTCTTCTACTTGTACACGCCCTCAACCAACGCGCGCGCACACACACACACGCCCACACACACCCACGCCCACACATTCCCACACTCACGCACACATTCCCACGCCCACACATTCCCACACTCACGCACTCACGCACTCATGCACACATGGACACGTGTGATATTGCAGCACGGAAGCGTGCAGTGGAAGGTGCCACATTATCTGACGAGTGTCAACGACGTGTGCTACGATGGCCAACGGCTGTGGATCGCCAGTGGCAACGGCACTGTCACGCTGAGCACCAAGACACAAGTGCTGTCCATCGCGGACGACCGCGAGGCGACCGCCGTTGCCTGCAAGCAAGGCGCCAAGGAGGCGTTCTCCGGCGGGCCCGCGTCCGTGCAGACCTTTGACGCCGACGCCAGGCTGGTGCGCTGGGACTGGGTGACCAACATCACGAGCGCCGCTGGCGGCGTGTACGACGGGCCCGTGACGAGCATGGCGCTTGACGATGACGGCGTGCTGTACGTGGGCACACCGGTTGCCATCAACGCCCGCCAGCCCGCCACCGCCACCGTGAGCCGCTTCGACTACCAGCAGGGGCTCCCCATGAACAACACGCAGATTGTGGCGGTGGAGGCTGGCGGCACGCAGGCGCTGTGGGCGGCGTCGCCATCTGCAACCATGCGGCTCTCGCCGGAACTGAGCCAGAGCCCCGGGGAGGTGATGCCTGGCCAGTGGCGGTACTTCCAAGGGCCGCGCTACCTGCTGGGCAAGAGCGCAGTCTTTCTCATGGACACGACGTACGCCAACCAGACGGTGGTGGTGACGGACGGCGGGCTGGTGGTCTTGGAGTGGCAGTGGTGGACGCTGGCAGCCAAGGCCGACCACTACGAGACGATCCTCAGCCGCCACATCCGCCACGGCATGGTGTCGGACTGCAACCTCAAGTCGTATGGCAACGCCACCTCCTGCACCAACGGGCCCTCGGACAACAACGGCCTGTGGACGTCGCTGCTTGTGGTGGCGGAGGCGTACAAGTACGCGCTGAGCCCAACACCGCAGCAGAAGGCGCGCGTGGCGGAGGTGTTCAAGGGCATGAAGCTGCTTGTCGACGTGACGGGCGTGCGCGGGCTGATGGCGCGGTCGGCCGTGTCACCGAGCGAACCCACACCGTCTGGCGGTGTCTGGCACAACAGCACCAACCCCAAGTACAAGGGGTGGCTGTGGAAGGGCGACGCGAGCAGCGACGAGGTTGTTGGGCACATGTTTGCGTACCCAGCGGTGATTGCAGCCATGCCCAACACGACTGAGGCTGACGACGCGTTGCAGCTGATGGAGGACATTGTGTCCTACATTGTGAAGAACAAGTTTCTCCTCATTGATGTCACGGGCAACCACACCCGCTGGGGCGTCTGGGCTCCAGACTACCTCAACCACGAGTGAGATGTTTGTGTGTATGTTTGTTTGTGTGTGTGTGTGTGTGTGTCTGTGTGTGTGTGTGTGTGTCTGTGTGTGTGTCTGTGTGTGTGTGTGTTTGTAATATGTGTGTGTGTCTGTGCGTGTGTGCGTTTGTTCACACGCAAGACACCAACGGGGGCGGTTTGATTGGTATTGTGGCACAGCACAATCACACACACACACACACACTCACACACATGCGCACCTGCGTGTGTGTTGCTGACACGACCACCACCTGTTTGTCCGCCTTTTCAGCCGCGATTGGAGCGACGAGCGCGGTCTCAACGCAATGCAGATCCTCGCATACGTCTCCGCCCTCGCAGCATACTCCCCGTACGCCCGCGCTGCACTGTGGCCTGCTTTGTGTCTGTGTGTCTGTCTGTGTCTGTCTGTGTCTGTGTCTGTGTCTGTGTCTGTGCGTGTGCTGAACTCTGTTTATTCCTGCGTATTCGAGGCGACATCACTCATGAACGCTTGCCTTCCTTTGCGTGCGATAGGAACCCTGACATGCAGAAGCTGGCGAAGACCGCATACAACGAGCTCACAAACGCCACGAACCAGGTGGGATTACGAACCCCACACGCAGCAGCACGCGTGCATCATTATGCCTGAGCGCCTTGTGGTTTGCTCTCCGTCCAGTGGGCCCGCTCATACTTGGTCGTTTCACATTTTACCCTCACCACAACCGCCACCACCAACACCATCGCGACGACCCTCATTACAATCATCCCCACCATTACTTACCCCCCCCCCTCCCACGCCAACACTACGATTCACCATTCAACAGTACGATAAGAACATGATCAACCTGAAGATTGAGTCGCCCGACGACGACAACTACAGCGACGACGAGCTGACATTCCTTCCCTACTACACCTTCCTCGGCGCCGCGGCCAAGGCCCCCTACTTCGACTCGCCCGCCCTCCACACCAGCTTTGACCGCACGTGGTCTGCTGTGCGCCGCCTCAGCTCGGCAGCGTGGACCAGCATGTACGTGGGCCGCGGTGGCAAGGACTACACCGAGGACGACCTCAACGCCATGCTATGGTGCGTTCTCAGTACGTGTGCGTGTATGTGCGTGCGCGTGTTCAGTGTGTGTGTGTGTGTGTGTGTGTGTGTGTGTGTGTGTGTGTGTGTGTGTGTGTGTTTGTGCGTGCGTGTGTTCAGTGTGTGTTCAGCGTGTGTGTGTGTGTGTGTGCGTGTGCACTCTGTGAGTGCATGTGTGAGTGTGCATGTGTGAGTGTACATGTGTGTGCACCCATGCCAATGCTGTCTGCGTGCGTGCTTGCTTACATGTGTGAACATAGCGTGCAACATATGTAGAGGTCTCCCCGACGCAAACCTCCCACCCTGTCCACCACGTGCACTGCCACCCTATGCTACAGGAACCTGCGTACGTGGCCGCTGGAGCTGATCAGCTGGCCCGTCAAGAACTCGGACCGCCGCGACATTGTCCTCGACATTGAGGCAGACCGCTCCGGACGAGTGGGCGGCGACTCGGTCCGTCACGCACACACACACATGCACACAAACAGGCGAACAAACAATACGCGCTTACCTGCTCACGAACGCACACAGATCACGCACACAAAAACACACACACACACGCACATAACACACACATTTACACGCACAACACTCACATACAATAACACGCACACACACTCACACACACACAAACACTCAAACACTCACGCAACTGCTCTCCCTCTCTCCCAAATGCGTTGCAGACGTTCAAGGTGCTGCCTGCGAACGAGCGGCCACAGCTGCGCTGGAACAGCAACCCGCACGACCTCGATGGCGGGAGCGGCATGTCTGAGGGCGACCCTGGCGCATGGCTCTGGCCATACTGGATCGCTCGCTACCACGGCCTCATCGTCTGATTACCCTCCCTCTTGCTGGATGATGGGGTGCACAGCGTTGCCAGCCAGCGTTTTGTGTTTCTGTGTGTCGTGTTCTTGCTCGTTTGTGAGCACGGCCTTTGCTTGCTCTCTTTTGTCTTGCATCTCTTTCCCTCTGTTCGCGTCAACTCCATGTTTGATTCGTTGCAACAGTGTGGCAGTTGTGTGCTTCATTCACAATAAGCAAGCAAGCAAACAAACAAAGCGACGCAGCCAGCAAGCAAGCAAGCGACGCAGTGTGGCGACAACTAGATGCACAACCAAACCACACACCAAAACACAAACAAACAGGGTGGATTGTTCGTATGTGTTATTGCAAATTTTCCGCATAACAGGCACAGACAAACAACAGCCATGATGATGATGCGGGTTGTGGCAGTGGCTGCGCTTGTGCTGGCCTCTGTTGTTGTGGGTGTGCTTGGTGCACCACCCAAGGTTTCCCTGTCCGCGCCAGTTCACGACGCTGTCGCTGGCGCAGAGGGCGTTGCTCGTCGCGTGCTTGGCGAGGAAGTTGCCCTCAAGTAAGTGAGCTGTGATGTGTGCCTGTGTGCGCGTGTGTGCCTGTGTGTGTGTGTGCGTGTGTGTGTGTGCGTGCGTGTGTGTGTGCGTGTGTGCGTGTGTGCGTGTGTGTGTGCGTGTGTGTGTGTCTGTGCCTGTGTGTGTGTGTGTG